TCTTATTCCATTTTCACCACTCTTTTGTTAACCCAAATGGTACTCCATGCCCTTGAATTGAACCCAAGCCATTCTTTTGAGACCAAACATCTAATTTGCATGAGTGAGGCCTTCTTTTGATAGCTTGTCATGTGCAAAATCTTGAGAGTATTGGAGGCGACATAGGTTTGTTCTCATCTCTTGCTAGCATGGAATCTCTTTTGAGCTGGCATCTAGGATGGTGAGTGGGGTTTATGCATTTCAAAGCTGATATTTTGGGTTGTGAATGAGAGATTATGAGAAAGTTTAACCAAAGTGTACCTTAAGAAAAAGAAAGAAAGCCACTAGGAACCAAACCGAATGAAGAAGAGCTCTAGATTATGTATTAAGTAACCCTTCCCATAAAAAAAAAAAAAAAAAAAAAAAGAGGAAACAAAGAAATAAGTTTGGGGGAGAAGATGTGTAAAGAAGAAGAGTTAGAGCTACCTAATAGAAAGCTTTTGACAAGTCCCTAGTTGGTTGTGTTAATAATAATAAAAAAAAAGAGAGAGAATAGAAGTGCTTGTTCATGGGGAGAGTGATGTGAGAAGAGACTATTGGGGTATGAGATGAAGAATGAAAAGGGTAGAGTGGTAGACATTGTGATCACTTAGGAAAGGGTAGAATGATGAGAATAAGACTATGTATGCATCAGTTACCTCTAGTCTTAGATAAATTTTTCATATTGATCAAGCTCCTTATTCTTGAGTGATAGTCACTAAAAATGATACATCTGAACCCTCCTTTTCACTCTCATTAGACCTGTCGCTTGCCTAGCCAAATGATTGAGATCATGTGCCCATTTGTGAGACTTCACTTTGTGTGTGTGTGTGTGAACTAATGTGAGGGCTGGTTTAAAGACTTGTAAATTGAAGAGTATTGCATCTTGTTTAAAGGTATAAGAGTGTGTCGATAGGCCTAGAGAAGCTAGAGTGTGATAAGAGAGTGTGTTCATGCTATTTGGAATGTCTCCTTAGGGTGTTAAGTTGAGTTCTTAAATGTGTTTTCTCTTGGTTATGAGTTCCCACCTTCAAACCTCTCTTCCCATAAGTCCTTGAAAGATCACTTGAGGACAAGTAAAGGACAAGTTTGGGGGAGTTGATATGTTGTATATTTACTTAGTTTTTAACCTTGCATTCTTATTTATGTTGAGCATATAGATTAGATTTAGGCACCTTTAGGTTGCATATTGCATACATTTGCCTTTTTCAGGTCATGGAACATGCTATGGAGTTTCTGGAGATGTTTGGGGTCGATTACATGCCAAAAGAAGGTGCAAAGGTGTCATTTGGCGAGCCGGAGCAACCACAGTGGAGTCAAGAGGTCGCTGCAAGCAAAACCAGCCGGAGCGGGGTCGTGCAGCGGGTCCGGAGGGTCTCTCCACGTCCACAGCGGAGGTTTGGCAGCGGACGCAAGGGGGTCGCTCGCCTTTGAAGAAGAAAAGAGAGAGCTCACAGCGGGCCTTGGCAGCGGGGTCAAGACCCCGCTGTGAGCTCCGGAGCGGGGTCGTGCAGCGGTGTGGTGACCCCGCTGCGCGTATTCTGTGTGACAAAAACTTAAGTTTTAGAGACCTTTTTGCAATTTCGTTTTTTATATTCTGAGTTGGAAAAACCTAAGTTTAAGTTATTATGTAAGCCACCATTGGAGATATATCTTTGTTCTTGAAGAAAATACTTGAAAACCTATTGGAAAGTTCATCTTTTAATATCATTGATTTCATTATTCATTGTTTTTACTTGTCTATTTCATCATCTACATGATTAAACTTGAATCTAAAATGGGTTTAAGAGTAATCATGATGTGTAGTGAGTACATCACCCTTGAATTCATGGGTTAGGGAGACTAAGGATGATTAGTCTAGAATTAGAGTGTTTAGTTTAGATTTCTCATATTCCTTACTTGTAGAGTGATCTTAATGCTTCTCTTGAGTTGGCCACTCAAGAGTTGATCTTTAGACATTTCCGCACTCACAAAGTGTTCGATGGAATGTCTGAGTCAACTCTCCTAAGCTTTTAATATCCTTTACCAAGGATACTTGTTGTTAAAGGTGTTAAGATGGCTAATTGACTTGTTCCTAATGATTGCTTTCATGATATTCAACCGAAGAAGTTTGATGTTTGAATTGTGTTTGCAAATGAACATTCATCTAGACATAGAGCTTGTTTAGAATTGTGTCTAGGCCTAAGGTAGATAGTTTAATTGATCACTTGCCACTCTTAGTTCAAAAACTGATCATCCAAGGTCAAATTCCCTATACCCATGGATTCTCTCGTCTCTTAATTGTTAAAGTTTATTCAGTCATTGCATTATTTACTCCATTTCAATATTAGCTGTAATTCAAAACCAATCAACCACATGGTCGCACTTAGATTAAGCTAGTACTTGCATTCTCGGTGCTTTTAAATCTCTCAGAACTGCTTCGACAATCTTTTATACTACATCATTTGTCTTAGGAACCTTGAAAACTCCTAATATCACAAACCCGCACTAAGCAAATTTTAGAGCAAACCCCATGACTAGTGTGCTTCACACAATGAAAGTCCTCAATAATCATAGCTGGTGTGAGGATGTGTTCTCCTTTATACATTGTATCGATTGCTCATATTCAAGCTGATGTAACGAACGAGGATAAGGTTTGCTGCTTATAAAGTACAAGACTAAGAAGAAGAGAGATGAATGATCTTGTCATTTTACTTTTGTATGAACTTGCCTACTCTTATTATCATATGATTTTCACTGTATTCTTTTTCGGCTTATCTAAACCAAAAACACTATTTGTTGCTTTTGGTTATGTAAAAGTAAGAGATACTAAATTCAAATGAAAAATTCAACATATAATAAAAGTAGCAAAACCAACACTTATATTTTTATAAAATAAATCATTAAGACTTGGCACTTTCCTAGCGCCCACTACCCCCAAAGAACCTTGTTGGATTTGAAGCAGAGACAAGAGTGGGAACATAGCTGAGGAGAAGTGAGCATCTAGATCCTACATCATGCTGGTCCACTTGTATGCATTTATCCTCTCCCACAATGTGTAAGAATCTATCAGAGTCCAAAGATTTACCGGGACACACTATTACTTTATTCTCCTCGTCGACCAAGAAATTCATCCCAGTTAAGAACATCCATTGGTTGTTATATACTCGTTTCACTGTTAGGAACTTGCTCCATGACGTGGCTCCAGTACTCTCATCAATCTTGGTTGCTATCCATACATCTACATCGTCGGCAACAGACGTTAACATACAAAGTTTTTGCTCTTCTCTAGTCACAGACAAAGCAAAAGTGCTGCCAGAAGAAGGATTATCCATACTTGTGAATCTCTCTGTTGAAAAATCGAATCTCAGTAAGATATCCATCCACCGGTGTTGACTTGAACTAAAAGCAAGCCAGTAAGTATTTCCATCCACGGACGTGCCGCGACGCGCTAACCCTAGAATGGACCAGTCTCTAGTCTCATTAACAACCCTCCACTTGTTAGAGGTAAAATCATAGATTTCATATAGGCGTGGCTTCATAAATTCAGAAGCAGGTCCAGGTCCATGTAGAGCAATCCTCAAGATTTTGTACTCGTTGCATGAGGATTTACCGAAAGCAAAGATGTCAGATCTCTCGTAGTAACTTCTTGGTTTGATCCAAGTGGTTTCATCTAAGCATGGATTCCAAACCACTAGTCTGTTGTCTTCAGTGGTGCATAACAACAAGCCTTCGCAGTGAAAAACCTCACGAATATTAACTGACGAATTTGAAAGAGGATATTTGAGGCTAAACTGACTTTTAATGTTTACAATGCTTTTGTCTTGAGCTCCAAGGAAATTAATGCTCACTAGATAAACCCTAGAATCAACCAACATGATCTGAGACGGCTTCTCGAATCTTACATAGTTGATCAGAGCTTTCCATCTTTTGGATACCGATCGAAATCTTGCGAGTGATGCCAGTGGAAGCCTTGAGAGTATCTCCATTAGCAAATCGTCCGGAAGATACGCGTTTCGCACCATAGCTTCGTCAACAAGAGAGGGAACTCGATGAGACGACACAACAGACATCGATTATAGGATGTAATCAAGCAAAAAAGAACTCTCAAAATCTCCTCTCAATTTCGGTGATTTCGATGTTAGGGTTCGTTCTGTTTTGTTTTTGTTTTTGTTTTTGTGAGATAAGAGGAAACCCAGGATTCCGGCATGTAAAGTAGGATAATCAGGTTTTAATTGATGGTTTAGTGAGTTGTTTCGGTTTAATCGTGTGTGTGATTGGTTATAGGATGATTAGTTTCTGTTTTTCTAATTAGACCAAGAGTTAGCCCCGGCTTCAGATGTAAATAAAGTTTCAAACTTTTAATTGTACATAAGACTTTTCTTTTTTGGGACAAAGGTGTAATAAATATAATAGTTTAACATTTGAAAATCACACTTTTTAAACTTTGAATTGTTTAGAAAGTGATTTGGTTATCTCAGATAAGCATGTTACAGAAATGTGCTCTCCAAGCAACACACTATTCACTAGTATTAACGTATATCTGTTTAACTCTTTTTGCAATCTGAGACTCAAATGTGTCAAAAGTGAGTGGTCAAAGCTTATAATGATAATGCGTGTCTTCGACTTAACAGTATACTACTCTTGGCATCAACTAAAAGTTAGAGATGAGGCTTGGGCTGTTTTCGAACCTGAATGAAAGGTAGATGCATCCATCTACTGCTTTCATGTTATGCTATTGGTGCAGGTTTCTGAAGCCATGTATTTAGTTGCATTGTACAACGAATGATGATAAGGGGCTTTATTGCATTGTAAGTTGATTCTCTTTGACTCACCGACCGTTTGGGAATATATGCTCTCACTGGACTGTTGCGGTCTCTTATTCTCTGTATTGTTCGGAGAAGGTTTTCTACTTGGAGTAAAGACTGGAAGAACAGAGACGAATGATATTTTTTTAGGATTCTACAACGTTTGAACTTAATTCAACAGAAATGCAAGATGGAGCTATGTAAATATCTCATCCGTTGTAAAAAAGACATTTTAAAGTGTTGCAGTTAATCGACATATCTTTCTACCCACATAATGGGTTCTTCACCGTCTTCTATTCTTTTTAAAGTTCTTTCTAAAAGAAACATTACTATATCGTGTGACCTGAGATACAAGAAACAAAGATGCAAACAGCTGCTTCAAGGCCAAGCGAAGTCAAGCTGGTTGTTATCAACATCCCATACTCCAAGACTTATCTCATCAAACAACTGTTCATAGCTCCAGCTTGAGTACCCCACGAAAAACCAATAATCACTTGGATTCACATCTCTAGACTTCAACTCTTGGATTCGACGCGCCACTGACTCATGATCAAGGAAATACACGCCTGGTGAGAGTTCGAGATCTGTGGAGCGGTCTCCCTCTCGGCTCAGAGCCAGAAGCGGTTGTTCTGGATCCATGACTGGACCTCCCAGCGATAGAATCGTGTCTTTCAAGAGCTCAGCTGTTTCGCCACCGTCCAGGTCAGGGAACGATGTCCATCGTAACCGTTTGTTGAAGATTACACCCATGAAACCGGTTTCGCGACCTGCTTTTAGGATCAGAATCTTTGATTTTGCAAACGGTGGACTGTCACCTAGCCTTTCTGTAGCAGCCAGGATTGTGCCAACTTTCACTTTGGGAGCCGAGTGCGTTGGAGGCGATTGGGAATTGACAACCTGGTCCTGGGTTACTTCTCTTTCTGGGGGATCTCTGTTACTTACGACGACCTCAACAAGTTTATCCACGTCTTTTTCTTTCACTTCATTTTTTACCGATGATGAAGATTGATCAAGCTTGTTTGAGTTTCTTCTTTCTTTTCCAGACAGGGTAGGAATAATTCCTGCCAGAGATAAGATTCATAACTTGCTTCGTTTAGGCTCTAGCTTAAAACAAAAGTATAAAACAAATGCTGTTTTCACAACCAGCTCAGCCTGAAAGGAAATAAGTTACTACGAAAAACAGGGTCACTAGTTGCAAACCATTTTAAAATCCCGCAGAACTATGTTTCCTTTTCTATTATATTTTCTCAGGAAATTCAGTGTGTGAGGTCATGGTGTGCCTTCACTGATAATATTTTGGCATATATGTGTAAAACAAGTGAATAAACAAGGATACACATGTTAACTTACTGAAAAACTCACGGGAGTTATTTGCATGTCGGGAAAGAAACTCTGTTATGTCAGTTACAGACGTCTCCCCTTCATATAAAATGACTTTGTTTCTCTCGGCTGGAAAGAACACCACAGAAGGATACACTTCTCTCTGCAACGTTACATATTCATAGAGCGAGTGAATACTAGAACCAATAGAACAAACCAGACTAGAATCAGACAAGCTATCATGAGAAGTACCTGATTTACTGAGTTTAGGATCAAGCTGCAATCATTCAACGTGCAGTCCATTAAGTAGATCAATGGAGATTTTAGATTCTTGCCATTAGTTGGTGTCTCTGCTTCAGAACAGAAGACAATGTAAGAAAATTTGAATACATGTCTATTTCACTTTCCGTATAAGAATACATCCAGGGCAGGACCAGATACTAGTCATTCTAAGTCACATGGTAATAAAGATTCAACTACCTGATTTACGAAGCCTTTGATTGTTCTTGGATTCTCCTTGTATAATCGCTTTATAATCCTTTAGTGATCGGTATACTTCACGCATAGCTAGCTCCATCCTCTGACAAAAGCCACACCAGTTATTGCTAAAAAGGACCAAAACGTCCTGGCACAAAGGACAGGCGGCCTTCTCTCCACTGGATTGATTCCATGCCTGAACCATATGGGAGAACGTATTGACTGTGATACGCGGAATAGAAACCGCCTCGTGAAAATCCAGGTTAACAAAAGGTGGGACTGTAGCTTCCTTAGGCTTTTGAATAGTAGATTCAGACCGTGTATATGGTGATAGACTTCCATTGAGATATCCATGAAGAAAGTCGACCAGTGACGAATAGCTGACTGCTAACTCATCTTTAAGGACATAGTGCTGTTCTAAAGCAGGATCAATTATTACTGCTGATGGAATCTTCACATCACCAGTCAGACCCCTAAGCAATGCATAGTTTGCGTCAGAGAAAAAAAATGAACCCGTGAAACTATGCACTACATCTTCCTTCGATTCCCTGTTCAACGATACCTTGATCTCTTCTTCAACATTTTCTGTTTTATAAACCCCAGCCTTATCACTTTCCGCCATTACTAATCGTTCACTTCTGTTTGTAGAAACCTGCTCTCTATCATCTTGGGAAGATGATTCGCTTTCAGAAGGTTTCATTTCGTCCTTTTCTTCAGAACTCATACCGACCCTGTTCTGCACATCTCCTTCTCTAGGGTGAAGAGAATTTTCACCGGTACCTTCTGCAGAAGATGAAGATGTGTCTTGACCAGGTATAACTTCTTGTGATGGTAAAGCATCTAGTAGTTTTATGTGCACATCATCGGATAATAGACGGAAACCAACATCTTTAGCAATCGAGCTTAATTTTTTTTCTTTTCTTCTGTGGACCAGGTTTGTCAGTAGCTCCTGCAAGGAACTGCTTTCCAATCCTGAAGCTATAGTATCTAGGGCTACATTTTTATCCCCATCCATAATCACAAAAGAGACCTTATTCTCTAGCTTAATCGTTTTAAAATTTCGGGCAGTTTTCTGAAGTGACACGGACCCCGATTCTTCATTAGCCTGGCTAACAGAGTTCTCAGAGTGAATATCAATCCCCCAGTTTATTATGTCAGACACTTTATGCTGTGCAGCTACCTCGCGGAAAGCACAAAGTGCTTTCATACTCTTCTTTCTATCTTCCAAGGAGCCACTTGATCTATCCACAAAAAGAATAACTGACGGTTTATTTGCAGGCAAAGATGACTCATGGTCCTGCTGGTTATCCTCCAGCTACATGAGAAAAACAAAGAGGTTGATGTATTTGAAGGCACAATGAGCAGTTTTAAATGGTTGGAATTATGGGTAGCTGGAAATATAGTAAATTAATAAATTAATGAAACGAACAGAAATGCAAGTACAATATCAAACAACATAGAGATCTTGCTTTGATGAAAAATGTCCGTCTTCTGTTATAGATATACTGTGACTAGAGTCAGGAGTACTACAACATCAGTTTAACAAAGGTCACTACAAGTACAAGCAAAACCATATAAAAAAACCATCTCTAATCACACAACACCCTGACAGATAAAATAACAAAGAGAAGCTTTATACAGTAAACAAAATCCAAAACCAGATTACGATTCATGTGGAAGCAAAATCTCGAGTTATATATGTTACTTCATGATTTTCTACTTTTCTTCTAACATCTCTTCTGAAATGAAAGTCCACTGTGTCCTTTATATTGTCAGATTTCAAGTAGTTTAAGTTACAGACAGTGGTTTCTATCAATAAATATAGCAAGCAAGCAAACGATCACATTTAGCAAGTTACACACTCACTTAGTAACAAGTAATTCTCCTCAACAAGTAGAATAAAGATACCTGAATATGCAAAATTAACTAAAACATATGGACATAAAAAGAATCATACCTCTGAGACTATGGGATTTTCCATCTTTAAGAGTCTCTGAATGTCATCCCCGGCCTTGAGAATTTTTGAACAGTGTGGACATCCTGCCAGTTGAAGGACCGCTGTCCACGAATCAGATTCTCCAACAGTAAATGGTGGAGCCAATGATTTTTCTGTGACCAGACCAAATTTTTGCCTCTCAGTAGGCAGAGAAAACTCTTTTGCGGCGGCAATCAATTTCGAGAGGAATGAACTGAATTGCTTGTACTGTTCATGGTTACATGTCTGTCCAGAACCCCCATTCGCTCTGTCATTCTCCTGCAAAGCAGCAGTATCATTGACATAGCTAAAATCCTCAAGCCAAGGAACTCTACCAAATCCACTTTGGAGTCTACACATCAATTTCCAATTGTGCATGGTCTGCTACTAGGGCACGAAGAAAATTGCACTTTACGGAGGCAATACACAAACAGTAAACATATCAAAAAGGTCTAGACATAAAAGTGAGAATCTACCAGCCACCTTCTCGTTAATTTTTCCTCTTAGCTTTAGCACTCGGTCAGTTTCTGTTTTCTTGGAGAAGTTTCCTGCAAAAGAAGGCACCAGAATGTCCAAAGAATCAGCAAACATTCCAGCTTTCGATAAACAGAACTAAAGATCCTGCGCCATTATTAAAGAACCAAATGCATATCAGGAGAACCGATGCATTACTGGGAGAAAGTAATCAAGTGACAGTAAAATATAAACAATTTGATAGATTCTTAGCCTTACACCATAAGAGACTAATCTCATGGTAATATTAATAGACTAGAAAAGAAATGGCATACTTGCTTGAGATTAGAGATGTTAGATGGAAAAATTTATACTCTTAAGAAGTAATACGCAACAGAGTTCACTCACCTTAACATAGTACTAACTTAATGTATCAGGAATTCAAGAAAAACTCTTTGGAAATCAAATCACATAATAAACATAAAAGATCCAGAATCAACTCACCATGCCAAAGGTTATCTTCAGTTACATTCCTCTTCAACTCAGACAGAAGTGTACTTGTCCATCCACAAAATTCATACAGAATCAAAGCCTTGTCAGATGATTCAACAAAATCTCTCAAACTCTCTGGAGACTTCAAATGACTAAGAGGGAGTTCTTCAGGAGGAGATGTCAGATAAGGACGAACAGACGACAATATATTTGAGGCTCGGAGCTTCCCACGATAATTATAAGGCACACTATGGTGATAGTACAGAATCGTAATCTCGTTGGAAGCACCAATGGCTTGTGCTAACACCTTCTCTGAGTTTCTGTACACAACCATCAACTTCAACGAGCTATACTCCTCACTAGTATGAACCAGCTGAGTTATTTCATTTTTAAGGGATCTTGATTCACCACACCCTAACAAGATGAGCAATGAAACCAATCAGAAAACAAATGAGATAGTGAAAGCAACTCCACGTGGAGGTCCTGAGATTTATGGGGCTTCCAATTACGGATTGAAGCTAAATGATCAACACAATGTATATTTTTAAATCAATTTAGAGCCAATGATAACCACATCTTGCTATCTATGCATCACGCCTCAGAGTTTTCAATTAATGGGAATGATGATTTGAGCAAGAAGCTTCGAGACATTGATACGGAAACTATGCACAGGTACGCGAGAAACAGAGACAAGGAGGGATAGGTACATGGAGCGGTGACGAAGAGGAGGATGTGAGGGTGGAGACGGATCTGAGACGAGAAGTTTTGCTCCGTGAGGATATCCCATTCGCCATGACCGTTTGACGGAGGAATGACAGATACGAAGGCCAGGAGGAGAAGGAGGAGGAGAGACGGAGTTCTCATCGGGACACCGCTACTCACTCAGTCGTCGCGTCTTTTTCCTTTTCTCGTCGTCGTCCGTGATTCGATTTTATTGGTTAGTTCGGTTTAATAGAACAAATTGATCTTAGAGATCGCATTTTACCGGTTCGGTGGAGAAGATATGTTTGCCACGTGTATAATTTGATTGATGTTTATTTTGTTTAGCAGCGGTAGGCTTTCGGGTTTCAAGATTCAAATCAGTTATTTCGGATTTGGGGTATTTGGTATAGGGCTCTAGAATATGTTTGTGTAGTTTTAAATATCGGATCAGGTTTAGATATTTTTAGTTCGGATTCGAATAGATTTTGAAAAAATATTTTTCATCATTCAAAATTCACAGTTAACTTAATTGGTTATTTAATAGGTTAAATACATACTAGTTGGCCTGGGCATATTTCCCGGATCCGAAGATCTGAACCGGTACCGATCCAAAAAATCGGGTTTCGGGTCGGATCCGGATATAACGAAATACCCGACTGGATATGTTTTTATTTATGTTTCGGATACCGGGTCGGATCGGGTATTACCCGAGATCCGAATAATTATTCGAAACTATCCAACTCTTATCTCATTAAGGCATTAAACATAGATTCACATGGTACTTCTCTTGTACATGTCTGAAGTTCTTGTGATCGTACTTTTTTTTTAACTAGGTGAAATGCTTTTAGCAATATACCAAATGTTGTTGGTCTTCTTTTTATACATTTTCTTATAGATTTATTTCGAACTTTCAATTATTTTTTAAGTATCGTAGCTTCTTAAAGTGATGGGTTGATATCTTTGATTGAAATAAGATTTGTTGTTTGTTTGAAATTTGTTTAAGACTTGTTCTATTTGGTTTTAGAATTCTCTCATTTATTTTTTACTCTAAATGATTCGGGTAAATCGGATTAGAAACAAGTATTTTTGGTTATGATCGGGTAAAATTAAGAGAATCCGAACCGGAACCGGATTTTTTTCGGTTACTTCGGATATACCCGAAACTATCCGGATCCGACAGGTACCGAACCGAATCTGATCCGAAATTTTGAAATACTCGATCGGATCCTATTTTGCCATATCCAAAATATCTGATATCCGAAATACCCGATCCAAACCCGATCCGGTACCCGAATGCTTAGGCCTACCTACTAGGTTTGAAAACAAAATTTTGAAAATTAAAAAAAACACTAATTTAATTGATGTTGTGAAAATTTGAATACAATTTTGTTAATACATGAAACAAAAAAAATGAGTAGAAAATTACTTTGTTCTCAATAATATGTATATTATATGATTTAAACTATGTACAACATTATAAATATTTTGGATAAAATAAGAGAAATAAACTAGAAACTAGATTCTGACCCGCCCTCAAGAGGGCGGGTATATTTTTTGTTTTAATTTTTTTTACCTAATATAATTAATATGTTTGTTTGTTTGTATAATCATATTTTTGCGTTGCTATTTATTTTTTGTCTCAATTTGAAATGTAAGTTATGGAATTAAAGTCACTCGGAAGTTTTAGTTATTTAAAAGTCTCGGCTACTTAGGAGTTTACAATGAAAGTTAGTCAATATGTATCCAGCGTACAAATTAGTTATTGTTATGTAATTAAATAAATATATTTGAAAGTAAGTTATAAATCTTATGACTCATTTTTTAATTTTAAATATAACTAAATTTTTGAAGACTCTAAATCATTCTGACCCGTATTATGATTTTGTTTATTTAATGCATCGTTAAATTTATTTCATACTGATTTTATTTTTAATATTTTAGTTTAAATAAAATATTCATATTTTTTACCCATTCTGTATTGATAAAATTCATTTTTGTGTGTTTTTAAAAAAAATTCCCGTTCTGTATTGATAAAATTCATTTTTGTGTGTTTTAAATAAATCTGCAATTTTATTCAATTTAGTGTATCTGATTTATTTTTTTTATTTTAATGGAACTATTTTTAAGAATTTGAAACACCAGACCCGCATTTTAATCAGTTGTTAATTAACTTGATTTTATTTTAGTGGTTTATTTTTAATAAATATTAAATTAATTTACTTTATTATATATTTGTAGGCAATTTAAACGTTCTTACTATTCACATATTTATTTAACTTACAAAAATTTCCTTCCCGATTAGTAGGCAAGTTAAATGGTTGTTAGATCCCGAAAATATATTTTATATGGTCTAGATTATTTGGAAACAAATTGTAAAAACAAAGTAACATATTTTTAGTTGTCCCCTACATATTCACATCTTTATTTAATTGTTGTTTAATGTTTGATAAATTAAGATATATTAATATAATTATCAGGGTAGTGGCCCCCGATTGCTAGCCGTGATAATGCGGTAGTTAGATTCCAAAATTTAATTTTTTTACAGTTATTATATAAAAAGGTAATACAGTTATCATATTAAAAAGTATTTTTTTTGTTGAAAATAATAGTTGGACACAACTAATATCAATGAGGAATGATCCAAATTTAATAGTATTGATTAGATATAAGCATTATTTCATATTCGATTTAGACCGGCGATTGAACCGATAAACCTGATTGTAAATTATATATTTAGTAGATGTCTTTGATTATTAGTTATAATATCATTTGAAACTTTAATAAGATATATAGATTTTCATCGTTTGAAACTTTAATAAAATAATTTACAAAATGAGGAGATACATGTAAAATATTTTAATTTTTTGTTTGTTTTTGTTTATGCTACATAAGTTAAATCTTGTTGATAATAATACATTGTTTTACTTGAGCATGATTTTATATTCTGCTAAATAGGTTAAGTAGGATAAAACTATCTTTTTGAAACTCTTTTAAAATAGGATAAGTTGTATCGACCTTCATTTTTCTATAATAACAATAACTACCGAAAGAGTAACGTGGCGTAGTTGAAATAACACACACATCCGTTCCTAAAACCCGGTTCGAAACGCTCCCCTCTTTTTTTCAATTTTTTTTGTTTTTCTTTTACTGATGGCATAATCGTAATTTTATTATCTTCTTCCCCGATAGAATTAGGTTTCGCAGAACAGTGTTTTACAACCGCCATTGTTTTTCTTATAAAATCTATCACTTTTTAAGCGTTTTTGTTGATTTTTATGTTTAAATCTTGCAGATTTCACATATAATACCGGATTTTAACTTCTAAAAACCAAAAAGGTAAAAACAATTGATGATTCCGAGTTGAAGAAACAGCCATGGTTAACAATAACAAATAGTGTACATTAAAAGATGCCAAAAAAGTGTATACTGAACCTAATTCGAACAAAGAGCAGTCCAATTTAGTGGCCATCTACTCTTTCTTTTGGTTTTTGAGAAATGTACTCTTTTTATATTCTCCAAGTTCTTATACTTTTTCAATTACCGTAACTATTTCCATATCGGATGATCATGCGAAATTATGTGTAGGATCAAAAACCACTAATCCAACTGGTTTATGCAGGAAAAAAATAATTGTTTCTGTTATAGAAAAATAGAACGTGGTTAGTGTTAGATATAAATATATAATAGATGCAGTTATATAAAAATCAGTTTTTTTTTAAAACATAGTTGGACAGAACCTTTTATCAATCGGTCAAACTGCTGTTTTAATAGAATAGATATAAGGCAATATACATATGTTCGGTTATCTTCGGATATCCATTCGGGTTCGGATATTCAATCTCTCCTAACTCAATATCCATTCGGTATTTTCTATTGCGATTTGGATTTTGATTCTATTTTTTGGATTGGGTTCTGCTTCGGATTCGGATATGGGGTAAAAGGCCCCGCCCTATTATTTAGTCAACTCGGCTTCAACTGGGAGTTTCGCTGGACCTGAGTCAATTGTTTTTTTTCCGTCAATATACAGACTTAATTAAGACTCTGTAAACCATCCAGGTAATTTTGTATCCATGTGAACAACATATGACGATTGTTGCCTAGCACTTCTTGCCAGACTGTCCGCCTTGACATTCGTTGTTCTGGGGACATGTATAATCTCTGAGTGATTAAAACTCCTCCTCAACATCTTGATTTCTTCTAGGTAATTTGCAAACGCAGGCCACTCCTCCGGTTCAGAAACCATCTTCACTAAACATTTATATGGGTTTATCTTATATAAATCCTAAATTGTTACAACAACTTACAAACATATTTTATATGTAATCTATCTATCTTTACCAGTGATAGATTGTGCAGGGAAGTTGATGATTCTGTGGGTGGTGTCATCCAAGAGTCTGAAGGGGTGAGAGACCAAGCATTGTGCCTCCAGATGATTCTGGTGAAAGCTATAGATCTGATTGCGTGATTCATGGTGGTTGTTGCACAACAGGCAGGAACGATCGATCTGTTAAGGTGGTTGTGGAACAAGATACATACATGAACAATTTTAATGAAGCGAATGGTTAATAATGGTTGGGAGCATGTGCTCAAAGCTTTCCAGTGGAGATTGTTTGTTCATAAGGTGAGTATGTAATGAAGTTGATGAATTGGTATATTGAACAGTTGCTCAAAGCTTTTCCATAACCAGACTATATTAATCATATTTGTCGCATGATTTGTAAGTAAAATTTGCGTTGGAGTCATAAAGAACGGGTTCCAACTTGCTCGGTTTACAAAAAGGTGAGTTATGATTATCTCTTATATACTAAAGCATAAGTTATTTTACTAATCAAAATTTGACGTGTGGAAAATACTATAACAACAAAATAAAATTTGATTGAAATAAAACAATTTATCAGTTGTTAAAGAAAAGAAGAAAAAAAAAAGAATTGTATCTTCAATTCCTGATTTTCAGCACATATATCCTAAGTTTTCAGAATTATTCATCCACATTCAAATTCAAAACCAATTGACAATTTTTAAAACTGTTTTTTCCTTCTCTATAATTTTGATGTACTGTATTTTAATATTATTATTTTTTAATATTAGATTGACCACTGTTCTCCACTCTTTACTACTTTTCTTTGATTTATTCATTAATATTCCTATTGTTGAAACAAATTATTTCAGCATTCACTACTGCAATTGAGTTCAACTCTAAAACTATTGTCGGATGTATCATGAAACT